GTCACTAATATAAAGTGCCACAATTAAATAAATAAATACAGCGATAAACAATTAATTAAATGTGTAATTCATTAAATAAATAAGGAATTTAATATATAAATGTGTCAATAATTTAATAAAATACGTCTTCATTTTATTAAAAAAATCTATATAATATTTCAGTGTGCATTTAATTATTTCATGGTCCTGTGTCGCAGTGCATCGAAACCATTAAAAGAATCTGTCAAACTCACCCATCAAAGTTAGGGGGTGGTTATCTAACACCTGATTGGTCACCCTGCACATTAAGGCGAAGCAAATCGATTACAGAGATTGTGATTCACAGGTTGTGAACATACTCTGATACAGTAGGTGGCGACTTGATTTAATTAATGAATTACACATTTATTTATTTAATTCCACATTTAATTAATTATTTACACATTTAATTATTTATTTAATGCTGTATTTATTTATTTAATTTTGGCACTTTTTATCCTCCATAGGGGTAGGGGGTTCTAGAATGAAATAATTTGGTCACATGACCCTGGTACGCACATCAAGGATAAATTAGGCTTTAAGGAGTTAATGGCAGTAGCATTTTATTCCTTCCTTTCCTTATTTATTTAATGATGCCACCCTGCAGGAATGGTGTCACAGCTAAAGAGAACAACTGGTTGCTGTGTAGATAGTTAAAACATCACTATTGGCACTACCTGCAGATAATATGTATAAGTGGAAAGTAGTAAGAAAGAGTAGCAAAGTGAATTAAAGTGGCCCTTATGTCCTCCAGCAGCCCAAGCCTATAGCAGCATAACTACAGAGATAGTTCAGTAGAACCAGAAGAAAAACATGGTTTGAGACCCAGCCCGATGATCTTAATGTACTTGTTTCGTTTGTCTGATGGGTGTCATTGTTGAGCTGGGGTTTAGATTACATATTTCTTTCCTTTATTTGAAACAGAGAGAGAGAATCATAAAAGCCTTCAGAAACACACCTGTCAGCAGAAATAAACCTCCTCGCTGTAGGCGACAGCTGAGACCTTCATGTCAGGAACTCAAAGAGTAAGCATCTTCTATGTCAGGTTGTCGTTAGTCAGAAAAAGCTGCTGACACAGTCATATGCTGAGCTTTGATTGGTTGGTCTGTTTGTTCGTGTCCATATACACACTCTGTGTCATGGCCTCTGCAGGGCACCACTGGATCTCGACCATAAACGGTCACTAAGCAGCATCCAGGCGCAACGTTGCCTGTAGTGGATAAAGGATGAATTACTCATCCTTATTTTTCGGATTTTAGCCCTGCTCCATTGTAGAAAATCTTAGCTTCTATTTTTGTCTGTTTGCATAAGAAGAATACATCTTCATAAAGCAGAAGCTAACATTTTGATCCATCCACCTAGCGTTTAGTTTTAGTGGAACATGATATCCTGAGCTATCTCAATAGTTATGCTGCTGTAGGCTTAGACTGCTGGAGGACATAGGGACCCCTTTTTCATCATTCTGCTTCATTCTATCTCTATCTATTCTCCTACTCTGCAGAATTTGTTAGCTTAATTTTTAACGTTATATTCTCTCTGCTTTTTCTCACAGTAGCTTCATCTGGTCTGTTCTTGTTTGGCTGTGACACCATTCTGGAGAGAAATATCAGCTGTGCTGCTGCCATCAACACCTTTTTTAATGGATTTTCGAGGTTGCCCTGTTTTTTAGTGTAGTCCTGTTTCTCTGACTGTGACTGGCTAGATGTGCTGTCTTCATCCTCTGACATTGGAGCTGGCTCGGAGCTCACCTCCCTGGCTGTGTGTTTCCTGGAAGGGGCCGTCTGTGGAGCTGGTTGACAGTTGGCTTTTGTATCTCTGGTTCTTTCTGTATGTCTGCTTCTGTCTCCTTGAACCCCAGTCAGTCTTGGCAGATGGCCGCTCACACTGAGCTTGGTTCTGCTGGAGTTTTTCCTCTCCACTGTCACTACAAGCATGATTGGTGTGAGGGATTGCATTTGAGTCAATGCATCAGCTGGTTTTCCTTAGATAGAAAACTTTGAATTCATTTGACTGTATGATTTGGCCTAATTGTCTCTGTAAAGTGCTTTGCGATGACATGTGTTGAGAATTGGCGCTAAATATATAAACTGAACTGAATTGAATCGAATTGGGTTGACATGTTGTAGTCGTCTCTTATGGAGCACTGCAGACAGCAAACAGGGAGCTTCCCGTAGAGAGTTTTTTCATGTTGATGGGTTTAGGACCACAGTGTTGGTGAACTAAACATTGTTCGGCTGATCCAACTGCCTTCTACGAGAAATCATGTATTTTGTGCTGCTAAGACAGATCTTTGGTTCTGCTGTCTCATGGGATAAAATAACATTAGTATTAACAATTTGTATTTTTGTATTTTAATTTCTGTAAAGTGACCTTGAGTGTCTAGAAAGGCGCTGTTAAATAAAATGTATTATTATTATATACAACTGACAGACGTCGGAATGGATGCTGGTTTTCCAGAACCCAACTGAGGGTTGTCTCAGATTACCATGATCAGGTTCCTGCAGCACAATACTACCAGAAACACTGAAGTTAACAAAATTATGGTCAAGGTTCAACTGAACCCAGTTCTTGGTCAACATCAGGCTAGACTGGAGGGAGACATTATGCAGACATTGTCTACATAAAGAGGTTCAGTGCTTAGAGTTTGGAACTACCCTGATTTAGAAAAGCATTCCTTCTGTTCACAGTCTGGCAATCCACCCTGACAAGATCCAGGTGGCAACAGGGCAGGTGGGGAAAGACCCGTACATCTGTGTCTGGGACACCTATGCCATGCAGACTGTCTCCATCCTGAGGGACGTCCACACCCACGGAGTCGCCTGCCTTGCCTTTGACTCAGATGGACAGGTAAAGCAACCGTCCCGTCTGTTGTCCGACCACAGACTTCATGTAGGGCAGAGTTGAATAAAAATGTGTTTTACTGCTACACGTCTTTCAGGATAAAATGTCTTATCAAACTAGGGTTGTGCTGTTAGCGCAGCTTTTACTGCTTCAGAACCAGTCAGCATCTTCTCAGTATGAGGCCCAAGGAAACTAACTGCCCTAAGTAACTCCAACACTCCTGACCCTGAATTTATCAATCCTGCAGTTTCTATGTAAGGCTACAAAGGAGGGTAACCCCTTAACAAAGATTTATAAATGCAGGTGTCCTCACATACATGGTTCATGTCTTTGTTGTCATAGCGATTGGCCTCGGTTGGACTGGATGCCAAGAACACGGTGTGCATTTGGGACTGGAGGAGAGGGCGTGTCCTCGCTTTGGCAACTGGACACTCAGACAGAGTACGACTCTTCCCCTGTGAAGGTTTTAATTCTGTTAACAAATTCCCTCGATGGTATCCTTTGGTAACACTCCTGCCTCTGTTCCCACAGATCTTTGATATCTGCTGGGATCCTTTCCAGACCAGCCGCCTGGTCAGCTGTGGAGTCAAGCACATAAAGGCGAGACAGAGCCTTCCAGAGTATCATAAGGGATCTGATGATTTCTGCAAAGGTTGCAGAAATTATCAAACATGAAGCATTTCCACGATAATAAAACCATATGATTTAAGAGCAGAAATCATGCAGAATTGTTGAATCTGGATTTGTAGGATGCAATTGAACCATTTAATCTGATTTAGGTTCAGCTAGACATACACATGCATATATATCCAATGTTAATGGATGCAATTAATTCCTTCAATCACCTTAAGATCCAGTTCAGTCCTCATAGAAAGAAGGGTCAAGGTGATTCTGTTGAAAGGAGTCTGGTTAAGGATATCAAGTCACTGAATCAGCAGTGACTTGAGGGAGTTCAGCAACTAAAGCTTAATTATTCCTTCAGATAAATGCTAACTGTTTTTTGTGAGTTTCGGGAATAAATGAAAGTTTTCTGGCACTGAAGAGGTTTTCTCCTGACTGCAGTTCTGGACTCTGTGTGGAAACGCTCTGACTCCGAAGCGAGGCATCTTTGGGAAGACGGGTGACCTGCAGACCATCCTCTGTGTTGCTGCAGCCAAGGAAGAGCTGACCTACTCTGGAGCTCTGAACGGAGATGTCTATGTATGGAAAGGAATTACATTGATCCGGACTGTCCAGGCTGCACATGGGGTACCAACAAACATTCTAACATCTTTAAAGGCGGATCCCAATTTGCTAGTTTCTAAATGCTACATTTGTTCTTGATGAACTGTGCAGGCAGGGATCTTCAGCATGCATGCCTGTGAGGAAGGATTCGCCACTGGAGGACGCGATGGCTGCATCAGATTGTGGGACGTGGACTTCAAACCTATCACCAAGATTGACCTAAGAGAGTCCGAGCAGGGTTATAAAGGTGTGGAGGCTGAGGTCTTTCGCCACGAACAGAATAAAGGGGTTATACATAGCTGGAACCCCCAAAACATAGTGACCAAACCAATGTACACAGCAATCCTGTAAGGTATGCTGTTAGTTAGCGACCTTAGGTTCAGAAATGTACCCTGGTTTTTCCTAGTCACCAGGTGAACCAAGGTTAGTATGGTCTCAGATGTACCCAGGTCAGTTTTTCTTGTTGTGTATCCAAGTCAGTCTGATTTCACGTTTACCCAGGTCAATTGTGGTCTCAGGTTATTCTGATTTGTAGTCCACCCAAGTTAATCTGGTTTGAAATGGAACATGGTCAGTTAGTTTCTCATGTACCCAGGTTAGTCTGGTGTGTAATATACAAAGGTAAGTCTGATCTCAGGTGTACCAAGAGCAGTTTGGTCTTAGGTATATACCCAGTTCAGTTTGTTATATTCCCAATTCAGTCTGATTTGCAGTGTGCCAAGGTCAATCCTGAACTCAAGTTTACCAAGGTCAGTCTTGTGTCAGATGTTCCCAGGTCAGTCTTGTCTCAGGTGTTCCCAGGTCAGTCTGGTCTCTTGAGTTCCCAGGTCAGTCTTGTTCCTGGTAAATCCAGGTTAATCTGTTCTCAGCTGTTTCCAGGTTAGTTTCCTTTGTGGTTTACAAAACTTGACCTGGTGTACCCAGGTCAGTCTTTGATGTGTTGAGACATGGTTAGCTTTTGCTTCAACAGTTAATGGTTTTCTTTCAGGACTTTCAATCCGTAGTGTTTGCTGGAAAGCTGACCGTATTCTGGCTGGGACTCAGGACAGTGAAATTTTTGAAGTAATGGTTCGTGACCGTGACAAGCCACTTTTGTTGATGCAAGGTCACAGTGAGGGTGAGCTATGGGCACTAGACTTACACCCCAAGCAACCCGTAGCTGTCACAGGGAGTGACGACCGTTCAGTCAGGTTAGTCCGACCTAAAAATATCCATCATCTTCTTTTCTTATCTCAATCAACATCTCTGAATCTCACCTGTCCATCTCACTTCTGTCAGGCTGTGGAGCCTACCTGATCACACCCTGCTGGCCCGCTGTAACATGGAGGAGTCGGTTAGAAGTGTTTCCTTCAACAATGATGGCTCTCAGCTTGCTCTAGGTATGAGGGATGGTTCATTTACTGTGCTACGAGTGAGGTAAGTTCACACATGGCTTCCTTCCTCCCCTATGTTTACTGCTATATCACCAGATTGATTAAGACTACAAAGCCAAAGTGGGTTTAAGTGGTAAAAACTCTTCTTCTGCAGGGACATGACAGAGGTTGTGCATATTAAAGACAGGAAGGAGGTCATCCATGAACTGAAGTTCTCTCCAGATGGTTCTTTCCTGGCGGTGGGCTCTAACGACGGCTTGGTGGACATCTATGCTGTTGCTCAGCGTTTCAAGAAGGTGGGTGAGTGTAGCCGCTCAACCTCCTTCATCACCCACCTAGACTGGTCCGTCGACAGCCGCTTCCTGCAGACCAACGATGGTGCTGGTGAGAGGCTCTTCTACAGGATGCCAGGTATGGCCCATAGAGTCCACACTTGGTAGGTCTAGTTCAGGACTGCAGAACATAAAACCGTAGTACTCTAAAAAAGTGTGTAAAGAAAATTGACATTATTTACAGTCTGCATCCCCCGTAATATCCTAATAGTTTGGGCTGTAAGACTGTCTTGGGTCTTCTCATGTTTTGGTCATGCAGCAGGAAAACTTATTGCTAAAGAAGAAGCAAAGGGGATCCACTGGATGACTTGGACTGGCATCATTGGGCCTGAAGTGAATGGAATTTGGCCAAAATACTCCAATGTAACCAACATTAATTCAGTGCATGCCAACTACAGCAGTGCTGTGCTGGTAACCGGAGATGATCTGGGTCTTCTCAAGCTCTTCAGGTTTCCCTGCCTGAAGAAAGGTCTGTATCCATCAAGCAACAGAGCATTTTGTAGCACAGGATTTGATAAAATAAATGAGGTACAGTTTGGTCACGACTCTCTTTTCGACACAGGAGCCAAATTCAAGAAGTACATCGGACACTCTGCCCATGTGACCAATGTTCGCTGGTCCAATGACCTCCAGTGGGTCATCAGCACTGGCGGGGCTGACCATGCTGTCTTCCAGTGGAGGTTCCTTCCTGAGGGTGTCATGAACGGTGTTCTGGAGCCTCTTCTTCAAGGTGGATTTAATGTTTATCCCAACCACTGTCCCCTCCATCAAAGATTCTCTGAAAGTCTTGAAAACTCAAACCTGAGGTCTGAACTTTTAAATCGAACGGAACCATTGGTAGGGTTCCCTGATGTGAAAATCTTATCTTTAACTCAGCATCTAGACTGATGCCTCCTACAACCCTTAAAGCTACCTTCATAAAGCCACTTTGAATATAAACCCTTCTGTTGGTTAACAATAAATTCAATGCCTATATCAGTGGTGTTAATATGTATAAAGGTGAATTCTCTTGTTTTGGGTCTTCAGAAGGGTATGCAGACTCCAACAGCGGTGAGTCGGACTCTGACGTATCAGATGTTCCAGAACTCGATTCCGACATCGAACAGGAAGCTCAAACCAACTATGAGCGCCAGGTGAGTAGGTAACAAACACTCTTGCTGTAAATGACCTGTCTCTGTGTGTATCTGACCTACCTATGTCGTCCTGCAGGTGTATAAAGAGGATCTCCCACAGCTTAAGAAGAAACTGATTGGTTCCTTGAAGCGGCAGAAAGCTCCAGAGGAGGGGCTTCGTCTGCAGTTCGTTCACGGGTAAAAAAAGTTTTGATCGGCTGATGGATCGTCGCTGAAAGTGAAAACATGTCAACTGTTAATGAGTAAATGTATGTTAGCCAACAACCGTTGCTAGAGTTTAGACCAGGGGTTTAACCCTGACCACTAGCATGTTCCTCCACCCATTCCCCAAATCCACATGGAAACCCAAATAATAAAAGTGTAAAATAAAGTTAAGTACTTTACATGAGCCCACATCTACACCAGACAATGCTGAGCCTATGATTCAGAACCACATAACGAACAGTGTTCAGTGAACTGCTAGGTATGACAGCATAGGACAAATGGTGAAAGCATTTTTGATGACCTGCTCATCTTTGTCCATTTGACTCCTCTGATTCCTGAAGATACCGCGGCTTCGACTGTCGTAACAACCTGTTCTACACTCAGACGGGGGAGGTTGTGTTCCATGTGGCCGCCGTTGCCGTTGTCTACCATCGGCTACAGCACAGTCAGCGTTTTTACCTCGGGCATGATGACGACATCCTCAGCCTCGCTGTTCACCCTCTTAAAGACTATGCGGCATCCGCACAGGTACATTTGGACAATCAGAGAGCAGCGGGTCTCCTACCCAACAGTTTTAGGATTTTTAATTGGCCGGCTTTGTGTTCAGGTGGGGAGAGACCCGGCCATCCATGTCTGGGACATCCAAACTCTGAAGTGCCTATCTCTGCTCAGAGGTCACCACAGCAAAGGGGTCTGTGCTCTGGACTTCACAGGTCCGTTATCCGGATCAAAACAGCATCTGTTTACCCTAAAATCTTCTAAACCACCCATCTCTAAACTTTTAAAAATGACAGGGTTACAGCTTCAACCTGCTCATCCCCATCAGACACCTCTAACCCCTCTGGAGACTCAGACATAGAGATAATATGTGCTGTAAATTGGACATTTGTCAGCACTTCTTCAACAATTTATGGAAGAAAGGGGTCCAGAATCCACCTCAACTGGCTGAAAGATTACCTCTGGTGTTATAATGTTATTGAAAGTGGTTTAACAGATCAACCAGTTCTGACCTAGTTTGGGCTGAATTTGGACAGTAAGGCTAAAAAAAGATCAACATGGATGTCCAGGGTTTGGAGAACATCTTTATTGCTCTTAATGTTATACCATTAGTCAGCAAAAAGTCAAAACAAAATCCAAAACCAGCTAACCTGCTCTGTACTGCCACCATGTAGAAATCTTTTTTTTTTTTACATAATTAAGGTATGTTTTCAATGAACATGATTAAATTTCCTGGAATGAACAATTTAGATGTGATTCCAGTGTTGCGGTGTGTTCAGAAGCGATACCATGGACGCATTTCTAGTTACACCACAGGCACAATGTTGGTGATTCTTGGGATGTAGCCGTGATACGACACCTGCTAAATATGATTGTTCCTTGATGCATTGCAAAAACCAGTCATGGACCAGATGTAGCTGTGACATAGGGTGAAGGAGCACAGTGGAGACAAAGCTTAAAGGATGAAATAAGTAACGCTCTCAAAAGGTTTGTGGGTGGCTTTTATAAAACTTTTTTTTATTTAGCCCCATTCTTTATTTTCAGGGTGTTTTGGGCTCTGCCTTAGAAATAGAGTGAGGTAGGGGAACAGTGAAGGCAGTATGGGGGTGCATATGTTTATATATGTGAGCATGTGCAAAGTAAGTCCATGAAGCACTGTCCCCGAAGCCATTGTCCTTGATAGTACAATGTAATGTTCATCAGCTGGCTGCACACAGAGGAGGTTCAAGTATCTCCTGAGGAAAGGGAGTGAAAAAAGTGTCATGTTTACATAATATCCAGGAGAAGTTGAAGATCTCTGACATTTAAGGCAGCACAGGGGGGCAGGATTTCAGATATAGATATATTGTTTTAGGTCAGGCTGATTTTTCCTGTCTGCCTTGCGAGTCTTGCCGGTGCCTCACAATGGCAAATCTAAATAGACAAGTTCCTGTTATCAAAAATCAAATAACGTACAAATCTTCTACTCCCTGGACTGACAAACTCTTCAGACACACAATCTTCCATTTCTGTCTGGAATCTTTGGAGAAAAACATTCAATCTGATCAAGAGGATTTCATCAAGAAAATTTGATCAATTGTGTTGAGAGACCAACTGACCACATCAATAATTCAGTTTTTCCCACCGAGAAAATATTGGTTGAAAAGACATTCAATATGACAAGATGTATGTCCAATACAACTTCTATATTTAGTTGAAAAGTGAGAGGTGAAAAGCTGTAATTTTTAGATCGTGAAAAGACTATCTTATTGGACTAAAGTGGGACAAAATCAGACCGACCAAACAGCCCAATTTTCAACTATTTCTGGATTAAATGGTAAATGGCATGTACTGATATAGTGCTTTTTCAAGTCAGGAGACTTGACCAAAGTGCTTTACACTACATTCAGTCATTCCCCATTCACGCACACACTAATGGTGGCAAGCTACATTGTAGCCACAGCTGCCCTGGGGCTCACTGACAGAAGCGGGGCGGCAGTACAATGGCGCCACCGGGCCCTCTGACCACCATCAGTAGACAATGCAGGTGAAGTGTCTTGCCCAAGGATACAAACGACACTGAAAGTCGGAGCTGGGGCTTGAACCGTCAGTCCTTCTATTTCAGGGCAAACTCCTACATCCGACGCCACTGTCGCCCTAACTATTAAATCAAGGCTATGACGGATCGACCAGATTTAGCCTAAAAACCAACATCTAAAAGATGTTTGGGGGGTTGGAAGATAATACAAAAGCAGGCTACAAAAGAAGTACAAACACAGAGCTAAGCAAGACAGAAAGGGGAGGGTGGGGTAGGAAAAAGTGTCTTTCCCTACCAAGAAGAAGTCTGAAGAAAATCCAGGTATATCTGAGTTTTAACTGACAATCAGCAGATTGAATTTTTATTTTATTTTTATGACGCGATGAAGCTACTGGAGTGGAGCTTGCAGCCAACCATGCAAATTGCTGCCGCTGTCAGATGAGCGACAGCGCATACAGTAAATGTGGCAACTCTGTTACTGGAATCATGCTTGGTGTGAATGCACCATTAGAGAAAAAGCTTAGCTTATATACACTCACAACTATAAAGAGCTGAGCAGAAGGTTGCAACAACATCATCTCCAGTTATTTAATTGATTGTAGCTCTGTTATCACCAACTTCATGTAGTCGATTTATTTTATTAACCATCTCATCTGTGTCCCCGTTGTTTGAACATGGAGATCTTGGTTGGTATTCCTGAAACCTCTGATGGCTCTGATTTGTCTGTAACTCTAATATGCCCTTTTGTCTCTGTGTCCCAGCGGACGGGAAGAGTTTAGTCTCAGTGGGAATCGATGAGTTTCACTGCATCGTCATCTGGGACTGGAAGAAAGGAGAGAGGCTGGCTAAGGCCAGGTGAGCACACCTGGTCAAATATCAGATCCAGACTGAACCATCGGAAAAATGATCTGTAAATTCTTCTCTCAGTGGCAGGTGTAAGCTCTGGATCTTCTTTCCATCACAAACCCGTGATAAGCTTTGCTACATCTGCTGTACCTTTAAATGGTGGTTCCACTCCTTAAGCCAGAACCTGGATCATCAGTTTGTGCACAAAAAAATATGACTTTGGTTTCCTATCACTCACATCATAATTAGCAGCACAAACAACAACCATGAGATAAAAAAAACTTAGTCTAGTTGCATCTGATTTCAACCTGTTAGATGTTGCTGCTTTGACAGAATTTGCAAAGGCAACAACCACACCATTTAGAACAACTTCTAAAGGGATAAAACAGGTAAAAATGACTCAGGATAGTAGGAGAATAGTAGCAGTGTGGATTTCTTATAAATAACGTAGGAAGGCAGGTTATATTAGTACTCAAAGACTTAACTGTTTCTAGCGGAGTGTCTGACCATCCTGTCTGTAGGGTGTTTATAGAAACAGTCTGGGGAAGAAACTGTCCCTGTGCCGGTTCAGTTTTTCCATCAGCTCTCTGTTCCACCACCATGATGGTAAAAGGCTGAATGTTTTTTCAGAGCCTTGATTTGAACAAGTTCTTGATGGAGGGAAAATGAATCTGGACAAATCTCCCGTAGACCTAATTCTTGCAGTTTACTAACCTGTTTTGTAAATTTACCAAATCACACAGAGAAGGCTGTGTAGAAGATGACCAGCAGCTCCTCTGGAAGGTCGCACTTCCAAAGATGCCAAAAGAACTACAGTTCCTGTGGGCAGTGGCACCTCCAGAAATGTTTCATAGGGGTAGCCAGATGCTAGCCTCGTGAGACCATCCTGATACCACGAGCTTTCAAGATTTCACTCGCTAATCAATCTGGAGACTCTCCGTTGAAGAAAATTTGGAGCCGTTCACCAAACGAACGTCCAATCAGCGTTGGCTTTGAGGCAGGTTGAGGTGTGACGCAACGAAAAGCGCGACAGTTCAGTCTAAAGAACATGGCGGCTTCAGCCGATGAAACTAGCGTTAGCGTGGCTATCGAGCAAGTTTTATCAGAATTACATAGTATTTCTTCACTGAAAGAAGAGCAAAACACTGCTCTGGAGGCTTTTCTCAGAGGAAAAGATGTTTTTGCTCTTCTCCCGACTGGTTTCGGCAAGAGTTTGATCTACCAATTGGCTCCTCTTCGTCGTCGCTCTGTTACGTCATATGCTTCGTTGATCTGATTAGTTTATTTGGCCCCTCTATTACCAACATAGGCCAATCAGCTAACCAGTATTTTCGCCCCTTCCCAAAATTACTTCTACGGAAGGTTTCCAGATGGATATGCGGAGCAAATCCATCTGGTGGAGTCAGGTTAGCCAGATGGGGCCACTAAAAATCTTGGGGTGGCACAAACTTAAAGCCATGATTTCAGGTTTTGAATCTACTATTGTGGTAAACCTACCTGTAGAAATCATAAAGACTAAATCACCTAATCATTTATTGGTTTACTGTGTGATTTTTTTTATTTTTTTTGTTATGACTCTGGCTGTGCATAATGGGATTAAATGCTACTTCACTGGCGAGTGTACTACAATTTACCCTGGCACCACTGCCTGTGGGACCTTCTTCTAGTTAGGGTCTATGTGTGAAGACTACCTCACTTTACTAAGGAGGGTGTTTCCTAGGAACCAAAAGTGGTCCACAACCCACACTGGTGTGGAGGATGGTTAGGGGAGGGAATCTTGGGGGAATTCTCTGGAAGTCCACTTCAGGGTTCTCACCAGCATGTTTCAGCATAATGGGTCCTTATGCTCAAAAGACACAGTTTCACTGAAAATCAAGCCAATATGCTCATTTTTATGAGCCGACAGCCACATAAAAATGTCAGCCCTTTGACAGACGTGGGCTTCTTCTCAAGGGCGTTTCAGCAAAGACCCTGGTCAAGCTGAAACTTTTAGAATTGCAATAAAATGATGCAGATTCCTTGACTCTTAATGAGCATAAATCCTACGAAAATATATATAAAAAAAGACATTTACCTCCTTATTTGCATATAAACATGAGGTATGCACAGTGGAGACATGACAAGACTGTCATTGGCTTGGCTCACCGGGTGAACAGGTTACTGTGGCGTACAGAGAGCAAAAAAATCTGGTAAAAACCCTGTAACATCGTCTTCATGTGCTGGGCTCTTTGGAGATGCTGTGTTGTCCTGGATCTGTCCAGTGACAGTGGTGTCATCTGCAAACTTTAGGATTTTTACAGATGGTTTAACTGAGATTCAGTCATTTCTGTTAAGAGGGAAGAGGCGTGGAAAGAGGACACACCTCTGCTGGATTCTGAGATTACCGGTAGTGTTTTTTGGTGGGAGTTTAAATGATGATTTTGCCTTGATGACTGAGCACCTCCTCTGTCCTCTAGGGGTCACAAGGATAAGATCTTTGTGGTGAAGAGTAACCCTTTCAGGATGGACAAACTGGTGACTGTGGGCATCAAGCACATCAAGTTCTGGCAGCATTCAGGTATATTGCATTGCTTCATGTTAAAAAAGGGGTTCTGTCTGCAGGAGGGTGAGGAACAAAATCCAGTGTTTTTCAGAGATGTACCAGAATCAAACATCTGCTTTCTTTATGTAGGAGGCGGTTTGACATTTAAAAGGGGAATTTTTGGGAACCTTGGAAAGCAGGAAACGATGATGTCAGCATCTTATGGCCGATCAGAGGACATGGTCTTCTCTGGAGCCACCAATGGAGATGTTTACATCTGGAAAGACACAACGCTTGTGAAGACCATCAAAGCACATGACGGCCCCGTCTTTGCAATGTGCTCCCTGGACAAGGTAACTCCCACACATATGCACATTCATTCGTAAACCCATCCATCCCGTTGGTTCTTCAAAGCTTAGCGGTCTGTTCTGTAACCAGTTCGAGCCCCCGATTTGTCCAACTCCTCTGTTGTATCCTTGGACAAGACCTTTCACGTACATAGCCAGCAACAAGTATATCACGGTTAAAAGAAAAGTCTTTCAGGCTCCATCTTGGTAGCCAAGTACAGTGTTAGGCAACCATTGTCACCATGGCTTACACGCAAACAAAAAAGAAGTACATAGACATTTTTGACCAGTATGCAAAATAGCAATAGATCCTCTATTTGAGCTGAACCTCCATCTGATGTTGAGATGATGAGAATCTTTAAGCATCAAAGACATAAAACCAGAGAGTTGAGCTACTACAGCTAGAAACCACTGATTATGGCTAACATCTTGGTGTCACGATGGACCTGAACCATTTCCATGATTAAATGACTAATATACAGCAGGATCTAGAAAAACTCATGGATGAATTTCTCTTTAGTAGAATTGATCACTGCAACAGTGCCTTTATAGGTTTCCTTAAAAGGTCCATCAGACAGCTGCAGCTGATCCAAAACATTGCTGCCTGTGTTCTCACTAGAACTAAGAAAGTAGAACACATCAGCCTGGTTCTGAAATCCTTACACTGGCTCCCTGTAGCTCAAAGAATATACTCTCAAATCCTTCTGTTAGTCCAAAAATAACTGAATGGATCAACCTTACAGACCAGTCAGGTCATCTAGTTCCAGCCTACTCCGGGCACCCAGAACTAGAACCAAACACGAAGAAGCGGCATTTAGTTTCTATGCTCCAATGATCTGCAACAAACTTCCAGAAGACTGTAAAAGTGCTGAAAGCTTGAGTTCTTTAAGTCAAAGTTAAAAACCTGTTTATTTAGAGCTGCCTTTTACCGTTGAACTGTTAACTAAGGTAATATAAGTGTTTCCATTACAAAATTATGTCCTAAGCCCCAAAGGCTGAAATCATGACAGAACTGGGACTCCAAAATCCCTCTATTGGTCCATAAAGCCCAAAATGGACTCAGTCTGAAAAATATTCATGTCAGGTAGGATCCATCTTGACCCTTAAGGTCTCCACAGACCTGCTAGTACCAGAACCAAAGTGGATGAGGCAGCATTTCATGTTTCTGGACCTTAAATAAAAAAAAAAACTACCTGAAAACCTGACAAGTTTGGAACCTGTGTGTTCCTTTAAACCACGACCCTTTAAAGAACTGTTTGTTTTTTTTATTCCTTTATTATCTTTATGTCAAAATCTTTTATTCCATCTTTTTATGAATAAAGGTTTGTGTAAATAAACATCCTTTAAAGCAGTCTGGATGGACCGCTTTAATAAAGTTACCTGTGTTGTGTTTCCTGTCAGGGCTTTGTGACGGGGGGGAAGGATGGCATCGTGGAGCTGTGGGACGACCTGTTTGAGCGATGTTTGAAGACCTACGCCATCAAGAGGGCCGCTCTCTCCCCGTCCTCCAAAGGTTCCTGCTCCAGCTTTCACACTTTCAGTCCCTGAAGTTTCAGCTGTTTGACTCATGTCTTCCTTCTGGTCAGGCCTTCTCCTTGAGGACAACCCGTCTATCAGAGCCATCACTCTGGGTCACGGTCACATCCTGCTCGGAACCAAGAACGGAGAAATCCTGGAGATTGACAAGAGTGGGCCGATGACGCTGCTGGTTCAGGTTAGACAGTATGAAGTCAGAATTATGCAATGGGGCACATATGTAATAAATACTCATAAAGGCAGTTTTGTTTAAAGGAAAAGTCTGGTCAGCAAGGAATGATCAATGGATCATTATCTATACCTGAAACTAATATGTTTGTGGTAATTTAAGGAATAATAATCAGTAAAAAAATTAAAATAATAATTTTTCTTCGCGATCACTGAGTGCGGGACCGGCCAAATATAGTCACACCTCACTCCTGACATCTCCCAGCAGTGATGTCATGGTGTGGTACAGTAAGCCTAGCGCCATTCTCCCCGCTTTTGAAACAAAATCAATGGGAACTACTAGACACCAGTGTTGTAGTACTCGAGATCGGTCTCGGTCTCAAGACCGGTCTCGAGACCATTTTTTGATGGTCTCGGTCTCATCTCGGACTTGACCGCATTTGGTCTCGCTCTAGTCTCGGTCTCGGGCGCTGAGGACTCTGCATTTTATTTCAAGACTGGTCAAGACCACAACTGTGGAAATAACGCTAATCATCAGAATATTATCAGTTTCTTTAAGATCCTTCTTTTTATTGGATGCTTGGATTCAAATCCAAACAATAACCTTTCTCATTGGTAAATGCAGTAAAGGAGATCAATCTATTTTTTCAAAAAATTATCTGTCTCATAACATATTTCACAACTTGGTGAAAGATATAGATTTATTTAAGAAAACAGAATTTTGCACATTGTTTTGAAATAGCACATTTAAAAACAACATAAATGTATGTACTGTTCATGAACGGCAGAGAAAATACAATTTTGATCGACTTTGATTGATTGTTTGAAATTCTGTGATTACTACACAGAAGTACTAAATAAAGATGTTAATGTTTAGTCCAGTTCTGNCAAAACTGCTATTTTCAATGACTACTTATTTTTGTCCAGCTTTAACATCAGTATCGATATCGGTTATCGGCTACATGAGTTTTAAAATATCAGCATATCGGCCAAAATCCCAATATCGTGCATCCCTAATGCACATATGTAATAAATACTTATAAAGGCTGTGTTGTTTAAAGGAAAAGTCCGGTCAGCAAGGAATGATCAGTGGATCATTATCTATACCTAAAACTGATAAGTCCGTGGTGATTTAATGAATGTATTGTTAATCAGTAAAAAAATAAAACATTTTCATCGTGATCACTGAGTGCGGGACCGGCCAAATATAGTCACACCTCACTCCTGACATCTCCCAGCAGTAATGTCATGGTGCGGTAAGCCTAGTGCCATTCTCCCAGCTTTTGAAACAAAATCAATGGGAACTACTAGACACATCTGCAATCAACTATTATTGAAGATTTCCAGAGGACTTCACCATTGAAATTCACCAGAGCTATAGTTAAACTGACAATGCCCACGTGCATGGCAGTTGGATGTTGTAATATATTAGGTAAAAGTGAAAAAAAAAATTGTTATCAGCTGAATTACTGTGGGTAGTAATCGTGATCCAGCGATACCTGCTGGACTTTCCAAACTAGGAGCATTTCTGGAAGATTTACAGGATCTAGTAATGCTAACATCACCATTGGGCTTTCAATAATAAATAAAGTACAAATGACAGCACACAAACGAGGCTAAAATTAGCGAATTAGAAACCTCAGATATGCTGTTGAACACACCAGAGCCACCGTAGACTGTGGATCTCAGGTCTCCTAGTTCATTTTGGTTAAAGGAAATCTAAGCAGTTTTTTATTTGTACAGCTGTTTCTGCCTATGATCATCCTGCAGCTCTGATATCAGCGCTTGTTTGTATTTGTTCCTTACACATCTTTTTAACTGAGTGAGACAACCATGATTCATCCTTGATGATTTATGCAATCCTAAACATCTTTAATATTTCTCCCCCCCTTAATCTGTTCTTGTTAGTATGTCCCACCTATGCCTGTTGGTCTCACCTGGGTGTTTTCCATGTTTAGGGTCACATGGAGGGTGAGGTGTGGGGGCTGGCAGCTCATCCTTTACTTCCTGTCTGCGCCACCGTCAGTGATGATAAGACTCTGAGGATTTGGGAGCTGTCAGCCAATCACAGGATGGTTGCCGTCCGTAAACTTAAGAAAGGTGAGGCCTGCGCAGTTAAACGTAAATGTGTTCTACTTGCGGCACCCGTTCAACGTGAGCTCTCCTTGTGGCCTGCCAGGTGGGCGCTGCTGCACCTTCTCTCCAGACGGTAAAGCTCTGGCGGTGGGTCTGAACGACGGCAGCTTCATGGTGGTGAATGCAGACACGCTGGAGGACATGGTGACCTTCCATCACCGCAGGGAGCTCATTTCAGATATCCGTTTCTCCTTAGGTACCTGAGCCTTGATCACAGGTGTGAAACATGATGCAGATGGGTCTCTAATGTGTCAGGTCTGATTTACAGATGCAGGGAAATACTTGGCAGTGGCGTCCCATGATTCCTTCGTGGACATCTACAACATTTTGACCAGTAAGAGGGTTGGGATCTGTAAAGGAGCTGGAAGCTACATCACTCACATCGACTGGGACTCCAGAGGTGAACAGACCAGAACCACACGCTGGTCCCGATTTGATCCAAAACGCCTGCATTATACAGATAGAACTAAAGACCATAAAACCAAAAGCTAAATGCAGAAACCGTCTAGCGATCCAGAACCGCCTTCAGCTGCCTTGGGTTCCTACTGGACCTCGTTTGTCTCTCTCATCCTTACAGAGGAGTTCTGGTGTTCCTTCCCAAGTTGCTTTTAATTCATTTAGGGTTCCGCTCACCTCTGTGGAGATTTCACCAGAGGCCAATACACCTTCATTCTTCTCCATTTTAGGCTCTTGTTGTAGATCTACTGTCGTGTTGATGGTTGATGTTCTGTTGGTGTTTCTGTTCTGACTGAGCTTCGGCCGTCAGCAGCAGATGGTTTATGGTCCACTCAATGACTGAGAGGTACTCAGAGCCAGCCCACAGCATCACTTCTCCACCTCTCTGCTGGGCTGTGTCAATCATTGTCTAACGTTTCTACTCTGGTCTCATCTGTCCAGAGGAGATTGTCCATAAAGTTTTGTACTTCATCCAGATGCACTTAAGTCCTTCAGTCATTTTCTTTCTAGTAGGGGCTTTCTTTTATAAACTTCCAAATAGGCAGGGTGAATCCGGCTCATGATCTTTAACCTGCTAACTGAGGCCTGCAGTGTCTAAAACAGAGCTCCTGGGTTGTTGGTCACTTTTCTGAGTGTCATGCTTAGAGCTTGGGCTGAATCTGGTGAGGCATCCACTCCTATGAAGACTGACAGATGTCTGAGATGCTCTCCTGTTTAAATAACAAGGGACCTCAGATGCTTTGGAGATGACCTAATGACCCTTTAATGGTCAGCAGTGTTAGCAAACACCTGTATGGTCCAAAATCCTGTTTTTGCAGGAGCTTGATCTGAACAGGTGATTTTTGATCCAACCAGCTGCTCCCTCTGAGATCCTGAGGAGGTGCTGAAGATGGATTCAGTTCCTTTATTTGGACTCGTGGAGAGGATTATGTGGTCGTGTGGCTAAATTAGGCTTATTTGAGGAACCGATGACATCGCAATCGACTAAAATGTAAAAGAACATTCAACCCTGACAGTAATTGATGTCACCTCAGATGTTTACCTTCCTTACAAGATGACAGATTTTCTATGGATCTTTCTCTGATCCACGCCCTGACAATAACTACTATAACCTCATCTTCTTATTCTGTCCTCCCTAATGTTTTCCTGTAGGTAAACTTCTGCAAGTGAACACCGGAGCAAGAGATCAGCTGTTTTTCGAGGCTCCACGAGGACGAAAACAGAACATTAGCGTGTCTGAGGTGGGAAAACTCGTTTCATTGTCTTGTTTGAGGTTTCTGTCTCCAGGGGCTTTAAAGCGGTGTCTGTGTCCAGTTTGAGAAGTTGGACTGGGCCACCTGGACGTCTGTTCTGGGTCCCACCTGTGAAGGAATCTGGCCCTCATTCAGCTTTGTGAACGCTGCTTCACTCACCAGAGATCGCAAAATTCTCGCCACAGGAGACGACTTTGGTTTTGTCAAACTGTTCAGCTTCCCATCTCGGGTGAGGCTAGAACTAGAATCTGGCACTGGGAGTCCACTAATGTACCTGGATCTCATCATCTCCTCAATCTCTTTTCTCAGGGTCAGTTTGCCAAGTTTAAAAAGTACGTTGGTCACAGCACCAATGTGACAAATGTCCGCTGGTCCAATGATGATGCCATGCTGCTGTCTGTGGGCGGAGCTGACACTGCGCTGATGATCTGGACCAGAGAGCCAGCGGGCCACAAGGAGAGCAAAGCTGTGGACAGCGAGGAGTCGGATGATGACCCTGAGGAGGATGGAGGTAACATCACAGGAGATATCAGTGTAGAGCTAACTTCCTCCAGGAATGAGGTTATACCGAATCCGGACATGTTCTGGTCCGTATGGCTATCTTAGATTGTCAGTGGTTGGCAATTCTAATTCTTAAGGGCCGGTATTCTGCAACTTTTAGATTCGTTCTTGGTCCAACATACCCGAAATAAGGGGCGGAACTACCTCTTCAGTAAATAATAAATTTTTCCAGAGTCTTCTTAATCATCTAATTGCCTGATTGAGGTGTATTGGACAAAGGAAACATCTAAATGTTGCTGGAAACCTGCCATCCAGGAGTGGAGTTGCCCTATCCTGTTCTAGGTTTTACAGATGTGTTGTTTGAATGATAAAGTCTGAGTCAAGGACGTTGTGTTCTTTTTAACTTTTGTCCCATGAGCCAAGTCCCTAGCTTCCAGAGGGAGAACATTCTTTTGAAAAACAGTCATTTTGTGGACTTTAATTTTAGGGTACGACAGTGATGTGGCTCGGGAGAAGGCGGTCGACTATGTCACAAAAATCTTCTCAGTGAGCATTAGGAACATGTCAGGAACCAAGCCTCACCTACAGCACAGAGAGATTGCTTTGGAGGAGAGGTAACCTGAAGGCCTGATTCTGCCTTGTGATGAGTTCAGATACAGTTTTTGTTTAACACTCTTTTCCCTGTTCAGGCTTCCCGTGAGCCGGGCCATACCGCTACCCGACAAACTACTGAAGGACAACGTAACCAAGAAAAAAAAAGTGGTGGAGGTCAGCCCATGGCATCTTCCTGGTGACATCTAACTAGTCCTGACTTTAACTCTAACTGCCATCTTTTTTCTATTAGGAGCTGCTGCTGGAGCACGTCTTTGGCTATAGAGGCTTCGACTGTCGCAACAACCTACACTACCTCAATGATGGAGCAGACATCATCTTCCACACTGCGGCTGCTGTAGTCGTTCAGAACCTGTCCGCTGGTGAGTGTAGCCATCATTTATTATTAGTAATCACCTAATGTTGCTCATGAGGTCAACACTACCTACTTCCTGTCCTGCCAGGAACCCAGAGTTTCTACCTGGAACACACTGATGACATTCTCTGTCTGACGGTCAACCAGCACCCAAAGTACCAGAATATCATTGCCACCGGGCAGATCGGTAAGTCCTACCTGTAGTAGGCCTCTCAGGAAGCAGCAATGGAGATGATTGCTGTCAGCACTTTTAACTTCTAGTTTCATATGCCTCAGCTTGGGTCTACAGCTCAACTTTTATGCAGATTTTTTTTGGAGGGAGTTGAAACCCTGAACCTATTGCTGATTGCTGTACACCAGTACTGATCATCAGGCTTCTAATGTTACCCAACATTAAAATCACCAGCTGTTTCCATTAGAAAGTCCTAAAAAACACACTACGAGTGTCAAAAATAACTTCTGGAAGAACCTTGCCGTTACATCAGACTTTTGATAAACTATCTAATAAAAATATGAACTCAGAGTAAATGAATGGCCATAACGTCAGCTATCTGTGAGTTTGATATCATATTTTGTCTCTGAACAATGTTCTTTCTGAACTTAAATGACAGAATCTTTCCTATTGGTTGGTTGTTAGAACAAGATCTGCGTTCAGTATATGACTGTTCAGTCCTTATTGAATGCTGCAGGATGGAAAATGTTAACATTGTTTGGGGGCTCGTCCAGGATTTGATCTTCTGTTCCTGGATAAGCCACCATTTAATGCTATGCCCCAGCAGCTCCAGTAAGGCTATTCATATTTCCACGGATTTCTTGTAAAGGAACATCCCAGTTACCAGTTAGAGGTTTTTGTCGGAGTGTGGGTTTCTTTTAGCATCTCCGCACGTTGCTTCCATGCATGATTGGCTGCGCATCACACCTTTTTTCTTTTCCACTGCTTCCTCATCGTCACCGCCTAACCTCATCACCAGGTGACGTCTCAGATTTCCCAGGTAAGTGTGCCTTCACTTTATTCACTGTGCTCATCCCTACACCATTAACACAAGTGATTCTGTTTGTTCTGCTGTGTAACCTGCTGTCGGTGCATAGAGACCGATGTGTCTGGTGAGTATCAGCAGTCAAGGTCCGGATAGAGTCCAACCTGTGTGTAGCTCATCTCCTAACCCTTTGTTCTTTGGTAGACTAAATCTGCTCTAATGTGGACTGATAGAAAACACTTTCTGCAGAATCTTCTTCATATTTGTGGCAGAAAACAGCTGCAGGTTAAAGAATGGGCTGATTTCAAAGGTTTTAGGTCTGCTCTGTCAGTTTTAGGTAGAAATTAGACAGAAATTGAGGCATTTAGTTTTCTTCTTTTTGATTTCTGAGGCATTCGCCTAAAATGTCGACCTTTAGGGTGTCAAAATGTCGTCTCTTTCATTTTGAAACATTTAAAGTTGGACTACATTGTTACGTGAGGTATTAAGTTTATGAATACAGATAGATGAAAGCTGAATTCTTTTTTGTGTGAATTAATCTAAAACCAGCTGAGGCGATTTTTTTTTGTCTCTATTGTTACCCTACTTTTGTCATAATGTTTAAGGTTATTACAAATATTTTGTTTTCTTCTCTTCAGTACATGCACTCAGAGTCACAGGATAATGTTGATGATGCAACAAGAAGACCTTATTTTAATAATTATTACAATTTATGAAAAGTAAGATTGATTTTATTTAGGGATGCACAATATAATTGGCCCCCTATCGGTATCGGCCTTAAAACTGAATATCGTACATCGGCCACCCCACCGATATTTAACCCGATATTTGATTAGCTTCTGAGTTTCTAAAGTCTAAAAAAAATATATATATATATACTGCTTCTTCTTCCTCAAAAACTTCTACTTAAAAACTTCTAAAGATGAGGGAAACAATATTGATAAATTAAAATATCACAATATCTTCATATGCTGATATATTGCCATTTAAAAACACCATATCAATCTCTTTTACTAATGAAATATTGCTATATGTTATCGAAATTTTGCCATATTTTTATATGTTGATATATTGACGCGGTATCGATCTATTTTACTAACAAAATCTCACAAGAATTTGCAAAATATCTTGAGAGTTTGTAACAGAACGATGAAATTTCACAAGATTTTGAAAGTAAAATAGATCGATACCGCGTTTTTAAAAATCAATTTGATATCAGCATATGAAAATATATTTGAGTATATTATTTTTCAAAGTGTCAGAAATGGATAAAACTGCTATTTTTAATGACTACTTATTTTTGTCCAGCTTTAACATGAGTATCGATATCGGTTATCGGCTACATGAGTTTTAAAATATCGGCATATCGGATATCGGCCAAAATCCCAATATCGTGCATCCCTTATTTTATTTATTTGCACCATGTATTTGCTATAAAATTTAAATATTTCAACTAATTTATTTAAACAATGAACAATACACTCTTTAAAATCTTAACTGATGAGGGAACTTAAAGGTATACTATGCAACCGGTGTTGATTTTCCAGCGAGGCTCCCCCCAGAGGGCGAAAGTAAAAGTGCACTGTCGTAAATATGCTCAGCTGTTCTCCTGGTTTCTCCGTCAAGCCAGGCGCGGTTGTTTTGAGCTTAGCAGACAGGCGAATGCAACGAATCACCATGTCTACAGCGGTAAGTGACTATTTTAACTGCATGATAACTGCACAAATATCGCCACTGCGCTAGCAACGAGCATGCCTTTCACTGGGGGCGTGTAGCAGTTCTCGCCGTAAAGCAAGACCGACTCTCGCGATGCACGAGACTTCTGAGCCTGTAGGTGCGGGCCGAGGGCTCCTGCAATTGCAAGTACGGTATTTCCCCTACAGACCACCAGGGCGGCCGAGAAAACCTTTGTTCAACCTGAAATGACTCCTTTAATCATCCAAAACGTTATGGAACACATTAATTAACTTAAAAATGTTGCATAGTATGCCTTTAAAGTTGTAGATATAAGATGACTATTTAACGAAAAATATGACACTTTTTATCAATATGACATCAGAAGAAATTAACAGTACCAAAGTGACAAGACCAAAAAATGTAATTTTCAAGCAAATAGTCATGAACAGTTTAAGAATACATGAGGTCCAATGACAACCAACCAAACTGTTTAACACATGTAGTTCCGTTTAATTATATAGCCCCAATCCACAACATGTCATCTAAAGGCACTTTATGGAAAAAATTCATTTAGACAATACAATGATTTATCATCTATAATCCAGCAAATTATGCTGATGATCCATTATTGACTGTGGGAACAAGCACTGCTGTGGTGGTTAGGGTTATAAATAATTTATCAAAAAGGACCATGTTGATGGTATCAATTGACTTAATATTACATATAATATGTTTAAGAATAAAATAGAAAAAAAAGGATTATTTTTAGAAGCAATTTTCTTTAAACCGAACAGACAAAAAAAAAAATGTGTTTCTGTAAAATTGGCATGTAGAGAGGAAAATTACAAAGGAAAGTGATTCCTCATGTTTCATTCTAACAACAATAGAACATTTATTCAATTAAGGTTCAGTTTAAATGATTATTGGTGCTGAATGTTTGTTTTTAGTAAAGGTGAAGCAAAATAAGCTATGATAGAGGGTTTCCTATGGAGCTTTACCAGGAAACCCAGTCTGTTTTTGGACCCTTTTACTCTGACCTGATCACAAGGCAGAACCAATTTTTCTTACTTTAGCAGGCAGAAAGTAACCCAAACCAGACACAACATTGCAAGAACCAGCTTCTGTAAAAAGTGTTTTCATATTTCTCTACATTAGTGTGATGCTGGCAGTTAAGAAGTTAAAAACTGTCTTACTTCGCACCCCCTATCAGCATGTTGCGGTTGGATGTTCCCTGTGTGTACTACATAGCTGAACTGACTGATTGTGTGCATGAGTTCTTTGGCATCAGGTTTGGATCAGTTGTGTTTCTATTGTGTTTGGGCCAAGGATGGCAGTCCACTGTGTCCCCAGGTTCAACTCCTGTTAGCATTACTGTGGACAATGACCACCTTATTTCCCTCAGCTCTGCTTACAGAGTTTACAAACTCCTGCTGTCAGTTCTGTGAGTCACATAGTCCTCTAAAGAACATTAAGTACTGAATAATTTACCTGTAGATGGGTTGTTTTAGGCTGATGAATCTCTACTTTTGCAGCCTGTATGCAACACTTCCTCTTCCTGTTTCCATTTGCAGGTTTAGTTTCATCTAAGTCCCTTCCTCATTCATCATTTATCCTGATGATCTTTGGTTTGACTGTTTCTGACCACATAAATTGCTGGATTTTGTATGCTCCTTACAAAGGGCTGTCTACTTTCTCCTTGCTCCGGGCAGAGTTGAGTAGGTCTGCTAACGTTTTTAGCAAAGCCATTTGAGACTAAATACCATTAAAGGCCACAGGCAATAATTTCCAGATTAAAATTTAATATTAAAATTATAATTTTTATATATATAACTTTGTGTTTTATTAGTTGAACATCTTTGTTAGTGGAATTATGAAGTTCTGTCTACTTCAAGTTTTTTTTTTAAGCCCAAGGTTGCGTTTTAGTAACCTTAGAGTATAATTGCATCAGTGAACTTTGTAAATCTGGTGTATATACTTGATTATACTTAATTGATTGAAAAATACTTAGTTTGGTATTTAGCATACTTCAAGTACACTTCCATATACTACTTTGTGCTAAGATTTTGCTGCATTATCAGTTAAGAACTTTGAGAGCTACTCTAGAAATCAACAATTAGAACCTGGCAGACTGAAAAACAACAAACAGAAGTGGTTTTAGTAATTTGCAAAGGAATTTAAGATATTAGTTAGGTTGCAACTAATCAATACTTTGAACTAAAAGAATGGTACCATTCTACCAATATCCTGTGAACCCATGACTTTATTATTTCCCCAAATCCCAACAAAGGGTGTGCAGGCAGTCCACTACGTTGGACTGGCTTTTTACAGCCAATTTGAGCGCTTTTTTACCTTTTTTTCCAGGGCTACAAGTACGCTTATTATTTGCCAGGCCGTCTGGATTGTGTGGTTAATTGACAAGAGGAAAGCCTCTGTTTATGAGGATCCACTTTTTTTTTGGTTCAATGTTTTGTGTGTTTCTCTGTTTCTGGTGTCTTTTCATAGGCCTTGCTCCATCCATCCACGTGTGGGATGCAATGACCAAGCAGACTCTTTCCATTCTACGTTGTTCCCATGCTAAAGGTGTTGGATACGTCAACTTTAGTGCAACAGGAAAGCTGCTGCTGTCAGTTGGTGTGGAACCAGAGCACACCATCACAGTGTGGAGATGGCAGGAAGGTAAGTTCTGAAGAATCAAATTGCTGTCGAGTACCTCCAGTGATTTTATTTGACATTGAAACATCTAAAAGTGCAGAATTGCTGTATCTATCAACTTAATCCTTCTCATCTGTAGACTTGAGGAAGAAAAAGTTACCTCTTTACTTTCTGTAACATATAAACCACTGACAGCCTGATCATTTTCTCCCATGACAGGCACTAAGGTGACCAGTAAAGGTGGCCATGCAGAACGGATCTTCGTGGTGGAGTTTAGACCCGACTCCGACACTCAGTTTGTATCTGTGGGAATCAAACACATAAAGTTCTGGACACTGGTTGGTGGTTCTCTCATGTATAAAAAAGGTGTGATTGGCTCAGTAGAAGATGGCCGAATGCAGACGATGCTTTCTGTCGCCTTTGGTGCTGTAAGTCTTGATTTCCGTAGTCTATAGGCATCTACCAATGTTTAGTCATTCTTCAGAGTGAAGTAATGTTTTTCTCGTAGAACAACTTGACCTTCACCGGTGCAATAAACGGAGACGTATACGTGTGGAGGGAACACTTCCTGGTACGGGTAGTGGCTAAAGCGCACAGCGGTCCTGTTTTCACCATGTACACCACACTGAGGGACGGACTCATCGTTACAGGAGGGAAGGAAAGGCCGTACGTAATTTGACTTACCTCTAAAACTCTTTTCAAGTTTTAGTTAGGATACTGGCCTATATAATCATAGTCTAAAAGATAAAATAACTTTTTTTTAAAACATGTTTTGGTATTAACTTTAGGCTTGAGTTTCAGGCGTATAATCTGTCTCAGATGGACAATTTAATATTTCTCGTGCTTTGCTTTCATTCTGGTAAACCAGCCAGAACACAGACAATTGTTAATGTTCTGCAAATGTTTTAAATTAAAGAAATACCTTTGAGCAACTCAAATTATTCCAATTCATCCCTACTGTTCTAGTGTCCAGCCGTTAGTCCAGTTGGCCTTGTACTTGAATTTGTGTAGGATGTGAGATTTCTGGTTTCATTCAGAAAGACTTCGCCCTACAGGGGAATGTATTTTGCACTTCATCCTTTCTTTTTGGTAAATCACAGGACTAAAGAGGGGGGAGCGGTTAAGCTTTGGGACCAGGAAATGAAGCGCTGCAGAGCCTTTCAGCTGGAAACGGGTCAGCCAGTAGAGAATGTCCGATCTGTCTGCAGAGGGAAGGTAAGGCACAATGCCTGTGATCTCCAGGCAGATTTACGATTGCAAGGACTGTCTCTCTTTTTTCCCCCAGCATTTTTTATTGTCATTACACTGTCACAAGTACAGAGCAATAAAATGAACTCCCTGCAATTAACACATCCCCTTGGGGAGCAGTGGGCTGGCATTGTGCGTAAAGGCTCTTTGCTCAAGGACCCAGAGTGGCAGTCTGTGGGAGTCGGGCTTGAACTCAGAACCTCTGGGGATTCCATTTGCAATGCCCTAACTACTAGGCCGATCAAAGGTCCCAGATTCTATTCTATTCCAACACGCCTCTTGTTGTTGCAGGGTAAAATTCTGGTGGGAACCAAAGATGGGGAGATCATAGAGGTTGGAGAAAAGAACGCTGCTTCAAACACAATGATCAATGGTCACACAAAGGGAGGGATCTGGGGTTTAGCAACACACCCTTTCAAAGATGTCTTCATCTCTGCCAGTGATGATGGGACCATTCGCATATGGGACCTGGCTGACAAGGTACTGAACTCCAAGAGGACAGTCTAGCCTTTATTATTGATGTGGTAATTGATTTAATATTGGATTCTACTCTAGAAACTATTGAACAAGGTGAGTTTGGGTCACCCTGCCAAGTGTACATCCTACAGTCCCAACGGGGAGATGGTTTCCATCGGCATGGAGAACGGCGAGTTCATTGTGCTGTTGGTGAACTCACTCACAGTCTGGGGCAAAAAGAGAGACCGCAGCGTCTCCATCCAGGACATCCGGTATTTATTCATCACCAAAGTACAGCAGTGTACCAGTACTGAGCTTGTGTGTAGTATCTTTGATCATTTCAGGCTTCTTTTGGTCCAGGTTCAGTCCAGACAACCGTTTTTTGGCAGTTGGATCCATAGAAAGTGCAATCGATTTCTATGACCTCACTCTAGGCCCGTCACTCAATCGAATTGGGTACTGTAAGGACATACCCGGCTTCGTCATTCACATTGACTTCTCTGCCGACAGCAAACACATCCAGGTGATATGGTTTTAGGTTTATTGATTTTTAAATTGGACGGATCCCAGCGGCTTTCCCAACCCCTTAACCGTTGATATGTTTTTCATACTGTCAGGTGTCCACCAGCACCTACACCCGTCAGGTCCATGAAGTCCCCTCAGGGAAAATTGTAACAGAGCTGTCTGTCATTGAAAGGCTCACCTGGGCAACCTGGACCAGGTAAGACGGGCACCAGTGTTGGAAAAACTTGCTCATTAAGTTAATAATGACAAAAAAGGAAACATCATGTTTGTTCAGTCCATAACACCATGTGCTTCTTTCACTAGAGAAATTCTGGACCCCCCATGGGTGTTTTAATGTTTAGCTAAGCTGCAAATCTTAGAGATCTCACTGAGGATCAGCCAGCAGGGATTTTTTTCTGGCGCTGACTTATCCAGTTTTTTTCCCTGTTTCACTAGCATCTTTGGTGATGAAGTTCTGGGTATTTGGCCTCGGAATGCTGACAAGGCTGACGTTACCTGTGCTTGTGTTTCCCACGCCGGGCTCAACTTGGTGACTGGAGATGACTTTGGCCTCATCAAGCTCTTTGATTTCCCCTGTCCTGAGAAATTTGTAAGAAAATCAAGCTGCTTTACATTTGTTCAGCCTGATCCGGTTCAACCCTTTCACCTCCTGTCCTCCCTCTGATCTTTCTAGGCGAAGCACAAGCGTTACTTCGGTCACTCTGCTCATGTCACCAACATTCGTTTCTCCTGTGATGATAAATACGTCATCAGCGCCGGAGGCAGTGACTGCAGGTAAGAACTGATCCACACCTGCTGCTTGTCAAAGTGTTTCTTAAACAGTGTTCCCGCTGGTCCTTAAAAGT